AGATAAGCTCAGGTTGTATCAGAATCTGAGTGTTAGGTGCATCTCACCTTATGTGCTAACAGCAGAGTAAAAATTAAGCCACATATTTCAGAGAAGGAAACGGTGCCTGCCGTTGCTCATGCAAAGGGACGGAAAAAACCAACAGCTGAGGTAGCACCGGATGCTCAGTTGGGACAGACTGTGGCCTCTGCGTCCTCACCCCAGGCGGGGTCTCCTTCGGAGAAGCCCAGGGGGGACGGCCACTCGAACTCACGGGACACTTTTAAAGTTTCCTTTTGCATTTTTATGTTTAGTAGCACAAATTAGGCCAAAGAAACGTTGCCCCGAGAAGGAGATGGTTGGGAATCAAGCGTGGACCATGTTTGTGACGCACTGTAAGCGTTCCTTCCCTCTGGGATCCGGGGGGAGTTGGGAAAGATCAGCTTCAGCAGAAAGAAACAGGAATTTGGAATTCAGTACGGAGGTGAAGCTGTACCAGCCCAATTGTCGTGTACTTTTCAGGGATGTAGCAGTTGCTTTGAAGCAAGGGATCGTTGTACTGTTTATTTTTAACAAGCCGAATTGAATATTTTCCACCCAAAGATTGTTATGCTTTTGAAAATAAATGGACTTGTATAGTAGTTTTTGCTTCAAATATCGTTTTTTCATTTTAATAGATTTATATGGGAAATTGATATATTGTAAATATAAATTATGCTCTTTGTCAAACTTGTCAATTACCTAACATAAGAGGAAAACAGTTTTCTCTAGGAAAGTTTCTGTAATGACATAAAAAAGCATATGTATATTTAAGTTTGTTAAAACTGTAAGAATGTATTTGCAGTGAAAGAAGTCCCATGTATCCGGAGTCTTTATTGTTCATTTTTTGAAAACCAGAACTTCAAATGTTGTAAAAAATAAAATGTAGATTGGAGAATTTTCACTTGTGATGATGCGTTATTTCCAGCATGCTTTATCTCAGAGGACGTATGCTTGTCCCTCGGGCCCAGCTTCTCTAAGCATTCCACTCCTGCCCCTCACAGCCCAGGGCTTTAGATGTGTCAGGGCTCCTCTCCCAGCCCAGCCTGTGCCTCTCCTGCCCAGAGCTGTTCAGCCACAGCACATGACCTACAGCATCAAGTCCAAGTTGCTTCGCATGCTCCTTGAAGGCTTCCTACAGGTAAGTCCCAACTTTTCTTCCTGAGACTTCTCTTGCTCCATGTACTTCTTCAAATAAGCTGCTGTCTGCCAAGCAGACCATCTGCCCCAAGTGCTCTGCTGAGCTTCTGGTTCACAGCTGCCCGTAGCCCTTCCGGTCCTGCCGGGTCCTGGGCATCTTTCAAGGCTCAGCTCCTACACCCCATCCGATGCAGCTTTTTCCTGATTCCCCCAGCTCTCAGAGCCTTTGTGATTACCTAGCCTTGAGTGAACCACCTCATACCACCTCTGTATTCCTATGTCTGGTAGGAGACATACCTTCCCAGTCACTAGAATGCATGTCTATGGTGAAGTACTTCAAAGCCCAAGTCCCAACAATGAAAGTGTAAAAGCTGATTGGCGTAACTAATAGGGTTTGCTTTTGTTGATGCCAAAAAAAATTTCTTGGTCTTTTTGCAGATTTGAATTAGATTGTTAAATGTCTGAGATCAGGCCTCCGTGTTCTGAACCATGTTGCACATGGAATCACTTGGAGAGCTTTACTGATGCCTGGGTCCCAACCCCTCTGGGTTTTCTTAGGTAATTGATCTGGGATGTGGCCTGGACATAGGGATTTTTTTTTTTAAGCTTCCCAAGTGATTCTAGTATGTAGCTTAGCTAAGGTTGAGAACTTCTGCATTTGTGATTTATAAAGTGATTTATAAATCTATAATGGCAAAGTAAAGGCTTACATTTACAAAAGAAAATTAGGGTGTTATTAATTCAGCCTAATAAATCAGAAAATATCCCAAGACTTAAATTAAGGTCTTGTTACCTGGCTAGTCAAACAAAGCTCTGGTTTAAAAAAAAAAAAAACAGAAACAATCTTTACAATATCAACACTTGATGTAAATTAGGTTGTTTATAAGGAAAACAAATTTTATTCGGCTTTAAACTATAGCATATTTTTTAACTTGGCATCAAATATACAGGGAGAGTCTAAGGTTTCAATTTATTTATTTAATTTGTTTGTTTGACAGAGAGAGACACAGCGAGAGAGGGAACACAAGCAGGGGGAGTGGGAGAGGGAGAAGCAGGCTTCCCGCGAGCAGGGAGCCGCATGCGGGGCTCGATCCCAGGACCTTGGGACCATGACCTGAGCCGAAGACAAATGCTTACCAGCTGAGCTACCCAGGAACCCCAAGAGTTTAAGGTTTCTAATAATAAAAAGTATTCTGTGGGAATGCCGAAGAAACACGGGAGAGGCTGGAATTGTATTGTTAAAGAATATTCTTGGTTTAAGGAAAATAGGCAACTCCAGTATTCTAAACTTTAGTAATTCCTGACAGCTAGCTGCAACCAAGAATGAACTTCTTTGCGTACTTTACGCGTTTGCATAGACCAGGATTTAACATAGTCTACTGACTTCCAGCAAGGATGCAAAACTGAGTACCCGTGCACACGGTTTTTGTTGTTTCTCCACCTAGGGAATGTTGCTTTCATCATTTCCAGCTTCATCAGAAAAGGTTGCACTGGACTGAAGTGGTCAGTCTTTCCACCGCGTAGCACTGCTGCCCTCCTGTGGAGTCTCTAGGCATTTGACATTCCTGAAGTCCTTCCAACTTGGTCATTATTCAGAGGTTCCTGTCCTTGCTGTGATTCCTAGAAGACATTTTAAATTTCGTTTGGGATCTAGTATTAATTAGGTCTTTTCTGCTTTCCTTCTGTGAAATCGACATTTTAAAAGGGCTCACCTCTGTCCCTTGTTGCTTAAATATGGGGAAGCAGAATATTGGGGGCTGTGGTCAGTAAACTCTTTCCTTCCTTCTCACTTATGTACCTGAAGGTGAACGAATCGTCACAAGTACCGGTCACAATGAGAAAGTAACCCACCCCGATTCCTGACTTGCTACCCCAAGAAAACTTGTATATGGGGAGTAGCAGAAGCTGCTTATGTTTACATCATAAATATTTATCTCCCTTACACAGCTTTTAAAAAACAGAGTTGTTTTATGTGGCAGTGGCAAGACTTGTTTCGAACTATGGAAACCAAGCAAGAGCTCCAGCGTCCTGGTGCTTAGGGCTGGTGGCTTCAGGGAGAATCTGGAGACCACCGTCGTTTAGATGGGCACTTAGTTATGGTGTCTGGGAAAATGCCAGTCATCGGATCACCCAGCACCACCCGAAAAGGCTGCTGGGAAAACACCCCTTCAATTTGTATATGACATGGGACTCAATTCCTTATTGGAGAATTCCTTGGGGAGGACCCCATGGGACCATGCTTCTCCAGCTGTAGTGTGCGGGCAAGTCTTGTTAAAATGCACATTCTGATCCAGCAGGTCCCAGGTGGGGCCCAAGATTCAGCATTGCCACGGGTTCTACGTACTGCTGCTTGTGGTGGGCTAATGGCCTCCAGAGATCACGGAGTCCTAATACCACACACCTGTGAACGTCCCCTCTGTGGCTAAGGTTCTTTGCACGTGGGGTCTTGCGGGGGGTGGGGCTGAGGGTAACGACAGGGCTCCCTAGAAGGGAGGGCAGTGGGGAAGCTGACTGCAGAAGGCGGTGCGACCCTGTGGCCGGATGCTCTGCTGCCGGCCTTAAGGATGGAGGCAGGGCCCGCAAGCCAAAGAACGCAGCTCCGGGAGCTGGCAAGGCCAGTAAACGGATTCTCCTGTGACCTCTGGTGGGAGCTTGGCCCTGCCAATGCCTTGAGTTCAGCCTCGTGAAATGAGGTGACAGTTTGGACTTCCAGGTGAGGTGTGTCGTTCCAAGACAGTTACTGTGTGAATGTTTGTGTCCCACCAAAATCCCCAGGTTAAAACCCTAACCCCCAAGGTGATACTCGTAGGAGGTGGGGGTCTTTGGGAAGAGATTAGGTCATGGGAGCGGAGCCTCCATGGATGGGATTAGTGCCCTTGTAAAGAGGCCCAAGGAAGTTCCCTCAGCCCCTGTGCCCTGGGAAGGCATGGTCTTTGAGCCAGCAAGCTGGCTCTCACCCAGCGCTGAATCCGCCAGCACCTTGATCTTGGCCTTCCCAGCATCCGAAAGGGAAGTACCGGTTGTTTATAAGCTGCACGGGCTGCGGTATTTTCTTACAGCAGCCCAAAGAGATGAAGACCAACAACTCATACAGCTGTGCTAGGGGTCCTCACACCACCGTCTGAGTAGGAAAGCAAGACCCCAGAGGGGTGGCTCTCAGCTGTGGCTGCACATGAGCGTCACCTGGGGAAACTTTAGAACAAAAATGTAGGCCCGATCCTGGAACAGGATAACCAGAGCCCCGACAGGTGGACCCTAAAAGTTGCACGGTCTTGAAAAACGGATTCAAGATGTCTCAGGACATCTGCGCAAACGCGCCCTCAGGGGGCCACAGCCCTCAGACCCGCAGGTTCCCCAGGTCTTATCCCCCGTGGCGTCAGATCTGGCTAATCGCGGATTACCTTTCCAGAACTGGTCCGCCCTGGTCTTCAGGGTTCATAGAAACTATGAACCACAAGTAGACCTCCTGCATCTTTTATGAAGTAAGGGAAATCCTCAGGCTGCTCTCCTTTACCAGCCATGTGACAGTGGGTTCGGTTCGACCAAATTTCTCAAAGGATCACGGACCGCAGAGGTGCCAGGGCTCCAAGTCCATTTGGAACCAGCCTCAGTTTCCCCTTCCATAAGCAGCATCCCTTGGCCCGGGCTTGAACCATCTCTCTTTTCTGTGATCTTTTCTCTCATGTATGTTTCTTGGCTCACAGAATTCCATTCTTGTCCTAACGGGCTGGCTTCTCAAATGCTTAGGAAGTGGGTAAATCTACATCTCAAGTCACCTTTTCAGGACCCCGCTTATCATGGAATTATGAATAGGAAATGACAGATGAAAAACAAAGACATGATTAATTGAGTAGAGTGAAGCATTTATTCAGGTCAGGAGGCACGAACAGACTCTTCACGGAAAGATGATTCAACAGCAACCGCTGACAGCATATGCAGCACCTGCCACATTTCAGCAACATGCAACCCGGGACATCAGATGCATTATGGCCATTTGTTTTTCAAAATACATTCAGTTCTCTCTTACCTCTGCAATAAGGCATCATAAATGCAGTTAAAGAAGTTAGTGAAAAAAGCGCGAGATGGTCCTTCCCCACTCTCTGCCCATCCGTCCTCCAGGAGACAGGCGCTTGCTCACCAGGGTTGGCATGAGGCTCCGAGGCTGCTGCTTTTCCCCCTATATCATAACCGATTTCAAATGGTGCTAGACAAAAACAGACTCTGAACACCAGGAGAAATCGGTCAACCTGTGTAAGAGATGGGTCCAGTGGCGCTCCTGGGGGTCCTGCCCTCGACCATGCAGGTGGCGAGTCTGATTCCAGCCACCCTGCAGCAGCTGCTGAAGGTTCCGGGGCGTCTAGAGCAGGCGCAGTGCTGACGCGGATGGGGCCGTCCTCTGGGTAAAACAAGAGAAAATCCCAATATTAGGCATGATGAAATGGAAAGCTCTTAAGCCAACGTCCAAAACACCACACAATAAGCAGTTCTTCTGATTCGGGAAGATAAAAAGAATTCGAACAGTCCAAGTAACTGTTCACCAGAAGATTCCTGGAACTCACACCTTAGCCTGGACTCCTCATGAATTGGGCTGGACCACATGTGAACTCTTTCATCCCTCTGGACTTAAAACAGACCCAGACTAAAAGCACGTCCCCTTCCACTCTTGTTCCTAGTCTCTTTACCCTACGTAATCCTGGTCCTTGAAATCTACCACTTTGTAGTGAGAAGAGGCAAGCAAAGATAAGACAGTGGAAAACAGAGAAAAATATTGTCCCTGAGGCTGAGGATTGCGTAAGATACCAGTCCTAGGCCTTCCGAAGAAGGAAGCTGGGGAAATAGACCAGGGACTTGGAAGAAGACACGAGAGAGCAGTTTGAGAGTAAACTGCAAGCCAAATAAGAATTCTTTAAAGGCTAGCATCACAGAATGAAGAATTTCTTGGAATTCTCAAATCTACCACATCTCCCATTTCAATGACCCAGTTATACCGGAGACCTGATTTATATCATCTTCCTCACCGTAAGGGGTGATCTCGGGCTCCCCTTTAAGGCTAGAACAAGCCGCTAACAGTACGTATGACCTATATTTAACTGTGTTGTCTCAAGAGTACCATAACAGTATTGCCTGGCCACTAAATAGATTTAACTCCAGAAATAAAGTAAACACTAAGACTTTACTGGAATATCCCAGTGAGTCTCAAAGAAGTATTACATTATGTAGCACTCATAAAAATGTCCTAAAATCCACTTCACCCATTTCGGTCCCCCAAGGATCCATCTGTTAATGCAACTGCTTTTCTAGAACTTAGCTTCTCTCTTCCACCCAGATTTTCTCTCAAAAGCTCCAGTTTGATTTGGCTTATACTTAGTTCTACTACCCCTTTCACTGTCTGGATCTCCTAATTCACAAAAGTCTCCATGACCTTTCTAAGGCAAGTGAAGTTTCTTTAGCAGAGTTCAACGCAGCACTGAATAAGGAACAGAGAAATGCACCAACTATCTTAGAATGCAGGACAGAGAGAGAGAATATAAGTATATATTCACCCTGGCACATAAATCTGGAAACCTTAATCTCATTAAAACTAAAGAAATGCAAAAGCAAAAAACAAGATACCTTTTATCCCCATTACATTAACAACAACAGAAAGCTTCTTATGCGAACAGCCGATAAAAAGCAAGGATGTGGTGAAACGGGTATCCTCATATGTTGAATGTACCACAGCAAATGGCAAAAAGCGTGTGAAAAACAATTATGCAGTGTATATAGAGAATAATACAAATATCCATGCCAATTAGCCCCCCTAGGAATCCATTCTAATGGAATATTTTAATATGAAAAATATTTCATACATTTTTATCAAGGCTTTCATTACAAATAAAACTGGAAACAACTTAAATATAGAATAGAAATCTTGGACTACACTGATACATCCACTAGAATAAGTTTATATTTATTTGCCTGTCATGATTTGGATTTTTATTCTATAACTGTGTAAAAACTTAGGTGCATGGGAAAATGTACCAGAATGGATTGTACCAAAACATTTCAGGGTAAGAGGATTACGGGTGATATTTTTTGTTCTGTTTTATAAATCCTCTGCTGTCAGTATAGTAATTTTATGAAAAAGATATTAAGTTAAAAAGAAAAAAAAACATACTTTGCTGAGTGCACAAGATAAAATGATGTTCTGTGAGGGAGACCCATGGCTTTTTATACTAGAAAAACATTAGACTGTGTGCTGAAAAAAAATCAGGATGAAGCATCACTGGCTGAGAGTTCCTGTTGATCATGCCGTGTGCCAGGCTGATGTTGTTCTTCCCTACTTTTGTCTTCCCTTCAGGCACAGGTGATGCTCTCATAGTCGGTAAGTTTTGCGAAGGGTTGGATGAGGAGCTCTAGCACCTTTAACGGTAAGTATTCACTTACAGTGAATGAAACATAAAGGAGAGTTCAAGGTCTCTAACACTACAGCTAGATGGAAAGGAAGTCGAAATTCAGGCCATCGTGTGACAAGACTGGTATCCTCACGGGCATATGTAGAGTGAGTGTTTTTTTTTTTTTAAGATTTTATTTAGTTATTTAGTTATTTAGTTATTTATTCGAGAGAGAGAGAGAGAGAAACAGCTTGAGAGGGGAGAGGGTCAGAGGGAGAAGCAGGCTCCCCGCTGAGCTGGGAGCCCGAAGTGGGACTCCATTCCAGGACTCCGGGATCATGACCTAAGCCGAAGGCAGTCACTTAACCAACTGAGCCACCCAGGCGCCCTAGACTGAGTGTTCTTTATCGAAGGTTCTATACTGGCTTTAAATTGTTACAAATGAATAATCATCCTTCCTATTCTATCGGAGCTGGAGAGCACAACTTCCTTTTTGGTTTCTAACCCAGGAAATTTCTTCAGGATGCTATCATGCCCACTTGCACAAACTGGAAGCCACAAAGACCAGTTTCCTAAGCCCATTTAGGAGGAGTGGTTCGGCGGCAGACTCTGTTGCAGAGAATAGCTTGCGCCTGTGCCTCAGACAAGGCAGGAGCGCAGGGGTCTGGGGCCCCCGAGCCAGGAGCTCCAGGGCTGTTCTCACCTGTTTGTTGAAAGGCTGCTGTGGACTACAGGTTACAAACTGCTCTGCTCAGCCCTCATCTATGACCCTGTGGGAGTAAGACTCGTGCGCTAGATTAAACCAGGAGGAGAGGGAAACTCTCTGATCTCAGAAGCTAAGCAGGGTCGGGCCTGGTTAGTACTTGGATGGGAGGGAAACTCTTCAAGGTAAGCCTGAGTGAGGTGTTTCTTGAAAGAATTTATAGCTCCATTTAAAAAACTCACTGGCAACCTCTAGT